GAGAACTGGCTAACCACTGTTCTTCTTATTAGTAAAACTTTAAGCATCACAGACTCTGATATGATAATTTTTGTTGCAAAAGTATTTTCCAGTGCTCAAAAACCTCAAGAGTTACTCGAACAACAAAATTACACTGTAATGAAAGTTTTTACAACAGTTGCACCTTCCATGGTAATGGTGTATTGAAGTTTGTAGACAATGTGAAGACATCCAGATTTGTTTGGCAGATAAGTTGTTTAGAGGCTTCTTCTTTATTTAGCACTTACTGGCTCAAACATCCACTTCTGACGCGCTCATTTGTTCGTGTCTCTGTCAAATGTTTAAAATACAAAATTATGGTGGTTTCAAACACGGTCTAACCTAGAACTCCATTAACCAGTTCATCCATTACACTCCACACACGACCAGCTTACTCTCACAGAAGATACAGCATTAGTCCTTATCTCATACACCTTATAAAGCAATCAGCATTCCTGAGGGTTTCTTACCTAATTGTGATGCGTCTTATTTTTACTTCAGAAATGATGCTCTAAGAAATTCTTAGACAACATAAGATTTAATAATGAGATTACACGAGGAAGGCTTTAGGAAATATTCCCCTTCTGTTCATATTAAAATGATCTATGGCAACAAGGGAAAGGCAGGAGATATCAAAGAAATAGCAAGATACTTTAACATAACTGGTTTAGGTATGGCTTGGGCAATGACAAAGAAAACCGAAATGACCTTTTAACAAAGTTAGTATTTACCCGTTTAGGTACCTGGCAACGAGAGATTCATCAATTTGGGATGCAGATGTTTCCCCTTATTTTGAAAGAGAATACAGGCTATCAAGAGTTTCGCTGATTTTTGAAGATTCAGTTCCTGCAACTTGTTTCAACTAGCAAGCAGTGTGACATATTTGCAAGACATTCTATACTATTTGAGAAGCTGGAAGTTGCAAAAATCTTTTTTAAAGAGTTACAAAAATAACTCACATAATTAAAATCGTTCTTATTTTTATACTCAGAATACACAATAGTCGCTAAGCAATTTTAATTAGTAACCAGACAATTTAAAGATAATGTCTAACCCTTGCTTACACTCATGAAGCAGTTTAAGCTGCTTGAAAGTTGTACAAATCCATAATTATTTTGCTGAAGTGTCAGCAAGTTTGGCCCTCTACACGCAGTGAGGAGATCATCAAACTTAAATGAGCCACTGCAACAAATTTCAAAGAGAAAGTATGTTTAGAAATATGAGATTTTAAAGGTTAGGTTTGATATAAGAATACTGAAAAATACATAGAGCTGTAACTAACAGCTTCTATTTACTATTAATCTTAAAATTTATGCTTTTTCTTAATCTGATTGAGAAACAGAGCTTTGTTCCTCTGGCACAAGACCACTAGTCCTGGCATTTCGCTATTCATTTTTGCATCCCTTAATACGTAACATGACCTTTATGCTGCTCACGCTTTATGATTCCCTGTCGTTCATCAGCAACACAAGATCAGGAGGTACCTTTGCACAAAACTGAACTGAGGGCAGCTCAGCGCAGGCTGCCTGCACCGTTCAAAGCCACGTGTCTGCCTCAAGACGTGAGAGAAGTGCTTCAGCACTACAAAGCCTGCTACTAGGTTCGTGATGCCAGGGATCTTCACTGAGGCAGAGGAAACAGGGCTGCTATTCAAAAGATAGTCAGCAGAAGTGAAGTGGCACAGGCTGGAGGTAAAAAAAAAAACAAACAAACAAAAAACAAAAAACAAAAAACGGTAAGATTCTGTTGCAGGGCTGCCAAAAAACCTCATTTCCCTACTTGAAGGGATGAATTAGCGGATTTCCCAGCAAGTACCCTCAACTTCATTGCCGCTTAATGTATTAGCAAGGTCAATTTCTGTTCCCACTATTGATAAAAATACATTTATTTATATTAGCAGCTGAACTGGAATCTGAAGTACTCTCTAAAATGTGCAGATAGCAACAGTAAGCTGAAAATCTACTTAAAACAGTCATCATAAAATGCTTGAAGAACTAGACCAATATAAGCACATTTTTAATACAAAACCCATTTTCTCCATTGTTACTTACCCAAAATGTGGTCACTGCAAGGTTTGCTTCTGCAATACATTCGCACGTTTTGTACTCCTGGAATTGTAGATGCTCGACAAATTTTTCCTTTAATATTACATTCCCATTGCATTTATTATAAACGTATTATGAATTAAGGTAACCATTATCAAGTCAGACACAGAAAACATTCTGTAGCTAGCAATTACGGTTTAGAGATCAATTATGATCCCAGTTTAACAGTCCAAGTCAATTCCTAAGGGAGACAGTGTACAAACAGACATGGCCAATGGGACGAGCAAATAAAGGAATTAAGAAGAAAAAAGAAATAAAAACAGCAGTTCCCTCCCAGCCAGGACCACAGTCCCCTGTGCCAACGGCCATGGTGGGTTTAATCCAGAGACTGCAACAGCTACTGTCATGAAGCCAGAGCAGGGACATCAGAAAACAGGCCTGATCTCTACAAAGCTGCTTCTCCAACAAGCCTTTTATAAGTAATTCTGCAAGGCCACACAATTCTGATTTAAAATTGGTGCTTACAACTAATTCTAGAGTTCCTGTGAGAACTGGAACCGTGTGTGCCAGCGTGACTCAATGATGTAGCCTGGGAAAGGGCACAGTCTCTCCAAGGTGTGCTAACTTGAAATCTTTTTTAGACATTAACCCAGTATTTCTAAACAAGCTGAATGAGAGTTAAGCTAAGCAGGCCAGTTTAAATTTCCACGGAAAATGTAAAATAAAATTGACTAACAGTTTGCCTGCAAGATTCTTGGAGTCAGTCTTCTGTATACGTTGAAGTTCTCCAAACTCTGTTCCATTCAGTTCTTTGCAGAATAAAAGCAGTGATTCATTCACGAGGCTCTGCTGGTGGTGCACATTTCCTTAAGGAGGTTATGAACACTAGCAGAGCCCTGAGAATGAATAAAGCCTTTTTATTTAATCTGAGGCATTTAATCGCTATTTTTAATATAACCTGTTCAGGCTTAGTTTAAACTTTATACTTTCAAACATTAATAAACTAACTCTCCGTCTGTATTTTTTAAGTGGCAAAACTCATTTTAGAGTGACACAGCACTATCAGGAACGTCAAGGCCACAACCAAATGCACCCTCTTGTCTAAACTACCCACAGATAATGCTCATTACTGCAAAACTGCCGTGAAGCAGAAATGCATTCAGCTATAATGAAGTGCGAGAAAGTGATATTCTGAATTTCTGAAGAAGAGCTGAGAATAATTTCTGGGAAGAGCTGGTTTGGGTTGTTGAATTTGGTTCATGTTGGGTTTTTGTCAAAAGCTGCAGGTGCCAGCTTGTGCAGTAATAAGGACAGGCCATTTGATATTGCTCTTTATTTCTTTTTAAAAATTAGACAATTCTCAATCTATTATTCCAGTAACATGCTACTAAGCACTCTATACATTCCTTTCTTCAGAATAATTCTAACTAGATCTTGGCAGGGATAAACAGAGTAACAATTACTGACTTTAACAGTACCAATCAGAATGAAACCAGTTGAGAACTCCTCCGCTGAACCGGACATATTAGTGTGGAATTGGACTACGCGTATTTAATACTGTGTTGTCTTAAATACCTTTTGAAATACAAATTTTTAGTAGAAACAGTTCTGTGTATATTTTTTTCATCTTATTCAGAATAATAAGATAAAAATTTCCACGGGCATTAAAGGGAGTTTCAACTAGGGTTTCATAAGGCAGCGTCTAAAATAGTGCCTGAACCAGTTCTTCCACAGTGTTCTTCATTAAGATCTACATACTTTCAGTAACTATTTTGAGCAGTGTAAATTGTGTCCTCCAAAAAGCTTTAATGAAAACCATTTCAATTAAAACTAGTTTGACAGCCTGAATATGCAAAGTCAAACCACAGGATACCAAATACTTTTTTGAGATTTGTCTGAAAATCTACAAACAAACATCCCATGGAGCAGAAACAATTGTGGTAGCAGTTAAACGATATTCAGTTGTCAGATTCAAGGTAACTAGCTCAATTATTCAGTCATTTTTACTTCTAGGACAACCAATCTCTTACAGGCATATAAGGTTTTGTATGATGTTTCCTAAATTGTTTAGAAGCACACTCTTATATTCTCTATTTTACAGTGTTGTGCTTTTTTATTCATTCCTCTGTACCAGTTTTTAGATGAAAATTATTGTTTAATTGTACAAATCACCCATGATTTAAACTGTATAATTACATTTCATGTAATTTCACAATTTCACTGGGTAATTAAATGATACTCTACAGCTTTTTTATTTTAAAAAAGCGCAATATATAATTAATGAATCCCTATAGGATTCCCCCACCACCACCACCTCAAGCATTGACATTACATATTTAAATATATTAGACCAAATCCTCAGGCATATCTGACAAGTTGTGCAGAAATCAGACATGTGTGCAGAATGGCTCATGGTTCACCTTCCACAAAGGGCTGGATCCTCAGCACAGAGAGAGGGGGGAAAAAAAAACTACTTTGTGAATGTCTAATTACATCAGCTGGACAGATACACTGGGCCTTCATGCAGAAGGAAAGCTCAGTGGTATGCCCTCTTACTTAAATTCTCCAGCATTTACTGTGGTGTTTTAGAAGAGCATGTGGGAAGGGTATATGGAACTCTACAGCACCAGAGGATTACTCTTAAAATACTCTCTGGGCAAATGATACTGAATTTAGGGCCAGTTTAGGGCTGGTATTTTAAGTTTCATTAGCTATACAATTCTAGAGGATCTAGCCCATATCATCACAGTGCAAACGTAACCACCTGTATAGACATCTTCTTGTAATAATAATAATAAAAAAAAGTGCCCTAACAAACAGAGGTACAACCTGTTAATGAGGCATGGTACATTTTACTCAGTTACCTTCTTTCATTGCTGAGCCATCAACTTTTCAGAAAACATTTCAAAAATAACATCTCTTTTGATAATATTAAAAGTAGATGATATGATTTTTTTTCCTTCGGTAAATTAATAAAGTACAATATAAACTGATTTTTCCAAAGTCATTTCAGTTTAAAATGGGCTGAAAAAAGTTACAATGTTTAATGATAATTTCAGAATAGTAACTAGTTCACAAACATTTTGTTTGCAATGAGAAAGCTTTGCCTGTGACCAAAAAAAAATAACCATGTCTTCCAGCGATTTACAAAAAGTACTTTAGATGCCACCTGAAGTTCTGTCAACGATGCCTTGCACCAACACAACACTGTCCTACTGATGATCAACGTTCATCTTCTTTATACGATGAAGCAGAGCGTCTTTTTCCATTTGGACCTCAGCAAGAGCCATCTTGGCTTTGGCTAGTTCCTGTTTGAGACATTCATTTTCTTCAATAAGCTGAAATGATTGGATTCGAAAAGGACATTATCAGTATTCCTGCACACTGACAGCTTGTTCCATTGCAGCAATTTTTAAAATACCACATGCTCACATTCGTGGATCAGTGCAGGTTTGTTGGGGCTGAGTCAGTGAGTGTAGAACATGGAGAAAGTTGACACAGTTAACTCGAAAGGCAAAGCTACTCAATGTTTTCACTATGCCATTTCCATTCTGGAGTGCAGTGGAAATTATACCAGGCTCCAAGCTCTAGGAATCGAATCCTACCCAGTGGAAAAACCGGTTAAACTGATGTGTAGGTTCTGTCATGGTCAATTCAAAATCCAGGTACGACTGATGGATTAGTAAGGGTCTGACAGTCGAGTTCTTTGTCCTTGGCAGTTGTGTTGTACAGGGATGAGGGAGAGAGAAGGGACTTGCTCCCTCATGAAAATCCCTCTGATGTGAAGGAAAACTAGTCTGCAATGTGTTACTACCCTATTTAGAACCTAGTATTTCTTTTGAACGCCTAAGTACTGAATCATACTCTAATATCTGTCATTTGTATTTTTCATCTCAAATAGATTTCTGCACAGAATTAACTCCCAAATAACCTAACGATTATGACAATTAATGGTTGTAACATAATTTTGGGGGTGGGGGAAAGAAGTCAAAAGGAATTCTTAATACCTCATTTTTGAGCAAGTCAGCTGAATCCCCGCTTGATTTAGATGGTCTGGGAATTTCATAAGCAGTCTGTGTGGCTTGGTCCTGTGTTTTATGTCCAACAGGTCCAGTTGCTTGCTGCGATGCACTACTTGGATTCTTCATCTTTGAGACATCATTTACTCTTTGATTGTCTATATCACAGAAAGATACTTAAGAGTAGTGCTTAGGGCTATTGTCTTTTATTTTCTTTAAGTTTGATTCTCATCAGCATAAAAATCACCTAAACAAATATACTTGTAATATTAAGTAGGTTTATATTTACCACCTAAAATAAAATTTTTTACTGATCAATATCTTCACCACAGAATATACATTCTTAATAATTCCAAGTTTGAGAACAATTAATATTGCTATTAATATATTGTCTCCAGGTCCAAATCCAGATCTGAAGACTGCATTTACATTAGATAACACAGTAAGGTAAACCTGCAGGATCAAGCTTTTAAATTAGAAAATAATTTGAATGACTTGGCATTAAAGAAACCTTCTAGCATTTAAAACTGAAGTGCACTGTAACATCTATTAAAATATACCGCTGCACACCAAGGGAAAAAAAAATAGGGTCATGGTTCCTAGTAAGCTGAAGAATACTCTGGGTTGTTGTTTTTTTCTTTTTTAAACATTCCCTTCTAAACAAGTTTTCTGTTCATTACCCCCTCCTCCCACACACACATGCGAGGACTTAAATGTAGCACTGCAGATACATAAATCACTGCAGTGCAGACAGCATTTGACCTGTGCCTTTGAAGTCACTGTACCTGAGCAGTCCATGACAAGAATAGGGATTTGAAGCACTTCGGCAGAAAGGGGAAAAAATATTACCTGAAAGAAACCTTAAAACTACTTATTTTCTGACTAAATTACTATTTCTTCTTAAGTTTAATATAAAAAGATAACCAAAATGCATTGAACATCTTTTAAAAGCTCACACAATGTGTTAGAGATAGCAGAGAAATTAAAATACAAGTAAATCATGCCACAGCATACCTCTGAGAAGTCCTGTCCATCTTTGCTGTACCTTCCCATCAGGTAGGTGAAGGGGGCATTAAGATCACCCCGTCACCTCCTCTTCCTCAAGTCACACAACACATTGCGTATCGTTGAACGAATATATTCAGGACCTAGATGAAAGGGTGGGTGCACCTTTTCCTATTCTGTCAACAATACCAAACCGAAAGGTGTCTGACACCCTGAGGGGGAAGGCTGGTTTTCAGAGGAACCTGCACAGGCTGGAGCAATGGGCTTACTGCAGCTTCATGAAGTTCAGCTGAAGCTGGTGTGAAGTCCTGCAGCTTTTGCTCCACTACAGGTTGGACATCAACCTGTAGGCCTTGGTCAACAAGAAGATTTATCATGAGTCAGCAGCAAGCTCTGACAGTAAAGACCAGGCACATACAGGCTGTATGAGTAAGGGCAGAGATAGCAAGATGAGGGAAGTTATTATTCCCTCGTACTAGAATGCTGGATCCTGGTTTGGATTCCCTAGTGTGAGAAGGCTACTGACAGCAGGGGACCACCAAGGCAATCATGGCCAAGTATACAAACGAGGGGCTCAGAGAGATGCACTTTTCAAATCTGACTATGTGAAGGGTGTGGGCTGCCTACCTAGCAGAAGGGTACAGAGAAGATGGACCAGACTTCCCCGAGGTGCCTGGCAAGTGCTCAAGCACTTCTGTTTTGAGGTGGTAGGACAAGAAGCAATAGACACAAACTGCAACAAAGGAAATTCCAATTAGACATCACCAAAAAATTTGACTGTAAGGGTAGTCAAACATGTGTGGACAAGATAATTCACGGCAGGTCGCGGTATCGCTTTTTTGACGCTCAAAACTTGACTGGACAGGGCATCGAGCAACTCAATCTAATCTGCTCCTGCTCTGAGGAAGGAGTAGGACCAGATTACCTCTAGAGACTTATTCCAACCTAGATTACTCTACGATTCTTTCACATATCCATGAAAGAGATCAGTAAAGTTTCAGCTCTAAATGTATTACCTTATTATGACTATTTAGTATTTACCCAAATGTAGCAAAAATTTGCAAGTGTATACACATTTTATGAAAATTACAAAGTTAGATCTAACTTAGAATTAAGGTATAACGGCAACATGACTTCCACAAACTATCATCAGTTATGTTTTCATTATTCAGCACATGTCTGCACAAAGGAGAAAACAGTATTAATAAAAATTAGACTAGAATACTGAGATATCAAGGTGCTGGAACATACATACCTCTAATGAGAAAAGAGCCATCATCATTTCTTTCTATCCACAGTACGTCAATATGTAGTTTTATGGGTTCCAGCTCAGATGCCTTGAGATTTTCACGTGGACTGTCATCCTAAAAAAATACAAGTTTTCAAAACGGAGTTTACCAGGAAATCAAATTTGTTGATTAAGGTGTTCAATTAAGCATAAGTGGATTTAATGAAACTTGAAAGGGAACATTTTAGAGTAGAATTTTCTAAGGGGATCTCCACTAAACTTTTGCTCCAATTTTTTTTTTTTTTCCCTGGGGATCATATTAAAGGCCCAAATTTATCTCTGGAATAAGTCTGCTGAACTCAAAATATACAGTCTGATTAAAATACTTCAAAGTATTTTTACAGACATCTCAGTAAGATTATATCCCAACTCAAGACATTCTTTAGCTCAGGAGCTCTCAGAGATAAGAAGCCTGCACTATATAGTACCTGATTTTCCCTTGAACTATTTAAAGACTGAATGGGTACAGCTATCATTCTCAAGCGAATTTTGTCTTTTAAGAGTTTAGTTTGGGGTCACACCAGCTGCAGTTCAGTTCTATTACTGTACTCAACAGAAGAGAAACTTCACAAATTACTGCTTTTGGGGTCTCCCCAGGAAGTCTTTATAGTTCATTATCCCTGTCAAGCAGAATGCAGCCAGTACAATCAGGAACTATACAAATTAAGCACATAGGAAGGACACTGCCAAAGTTTCTTGAAACAGCACTGAGATTACAGTAGAAAATGCAAAAAATCTCCTTTCTTAAATCCTTCCCTGCCAATGAAACGCACTGCATCAAGCGCCATGCAGAAGAAATAAAAGAATATACTGCATGGAACAGGCAACGCAGCATACATTTGAACCACATCCTCTCACCCTCTGTCACCCAACAACTCTGTAGAAACAAATGATATAGAAATGAATCATCTGTATGCCAAAGTTGCAGTTTGTCAGCCATCATGAGCAACTTCACTGTGATGTGTGTGCACTGCCGAGTGAGCACTTCAGTGCTTTCGCCACCAAACAGACTCATCACCAGTTTATTATTTTCCCCACCTCAAACATCTGCTTTTGCTTAAGTCTGCCTTCTTGCCAATAAACCAGAAAAATCTTGTTTTTTCCAATTTAAATGGCTGTATGTTAAGACTTTCCGTTTCGAATTTGGGCATCCACATCTGTGATACAGCGGGATCTGAGGAACAGATCCACAACTCTTGCAGAATGTGCTTGTGCTACTCCTCTAGTAGAAATGGCCCTTAAGAAGTGTCAAGGGATCATCAGGGGATGGGAAAGCTGCATTACAGAGGGAAGGAATACTGATACACTTTGAGTAGAACATTAGAGAGATAACAACAGCCCTTCCAGTCAAGAATGACCTTCACAGAATCAAGGTCTTAGCCCCAGATGCAGAATGGGAGTTGCAATTCCAGTCTTCACTTTGTTTGAAGTTTATAAGGGTGATTATTAATTCCCAAAGCAATGTTATAATTATTTTAACTTTACTTTTCTTGGGTCTTTTTTGTTCTCTCCTCCTCCTGCCAAAAAAAGTGTACTTATCATTATATTCAATGGTTGTGCAGTACAGAACACACCATCTCCTTTAAATGTCTGAAAGAAAATCCCCTAGGAGACTTGAGCAGGAGTGTCCTCTTAATGTCACTATTTTAAGCTCTGGTGGTGAGAAAAGCTTGCATTATTTAGTATCTGTTTCTAGGTAGGGCAGAACACGACATCTGGGTTCTACGAAACAGTATTCAAGTGATTTGAACTGGAATTACCATAACCTTATTCCTTCTTTTGTACTGAACTTTCATTGCAAGAACTATCCTCTAAGAAGGAGAGAGGATTAACCTCTAGAATCTGTATTTTGTAATTAGAAAACCATTACTACATTAAGCAAAAAAGCCCAACAAAAAAAAAAAAAACAACTTTGTGCCTCTAGGAACTTGGTATACCTTACCTATAAAACTCCCAGACACTGTCACTCTACAAAGGAGACTGGGAGAGGAGGAAAAAAATGTGTAAAATATTAATTCATATAAATAGCTTGGTCATGCAGAGAATTCCCCTCTAGGCATACCACAGAGCTAACCAAATTTTTAAGTTGTTTTAGTGTTATCTAAAGACCTTTCAGAGTATGATAGCAGTTTCTTTGAAGTTAACTATATCCAGATTAGTAGTTTATCATCAAAGAAATAAAAATACAGTGCCTTTAGAGCAGCCAAGCAGCTCATTGTTAACATACTTTTAAATTAATCCTTGCATTAGAAACTTTTATCTTCATAGGCATCACTTCTGCAACAGTTTCATCTTCCAGAAAATGCTGAATGTTTGTGAGGGAAGATGTTAGAAATTCAGCACTGAAGTTCTCTACATGACACTGAAGAAAACCATTTTTCACAGCCAGCAGAGAATGTACAACAGCACTAGGCCCGCTTTCCCATCTCAGGCTAATCTCAGGTGATGAATTAACTGGTCCAGCCACAGATTTACAGTCGGAACCTGTTGCAAAAGGAAAGCAAATCTGCATTAAAATTGTGCAATATATAAAAGAGAAATTATGATGCAATTACTTCTACCTCTATTGTCCAACTGATTTTCTAAAAGTACTATAGAAGTATTATCATCAAATTACAGGGTTGCAAATATAGAACCTCAGAGCAAACTCCTAAGTATATCACTTCAAAGCACTAAAGAGAAGTACACAGCTCATACAAGGACTAGTACCTCACTGTGACAACAGAAGAGGACAATACAGAAGTATCACCACGCACAAAAAAAACCCTCCCTGTGTTTTCTCAATGTCTTGACAATGGAAAAAATATTCTACATACTTTTCCACTAGCTTCTTCAATTTTAATTCAGAAAACCACTTAAGTCAGTCCACTCTCTCAGGAGAGCAGGCAGTCTCTTGGAAAGGCAGAATTTCCTGACTCAAGAATTTACTCGCTAACACACTGGAACATAAACAGCAATGCAGTTAAGATGGAGAACATGACCACACGGTGCTTCCACTGTCGATTTGAACCTTAAAAAAACCCTAGCAGTTTCTTCTTAGTTTCAGTATGTTTAGCCATTACAAATAACTGGAACATTAAACAAAACAGTTCTGAATATAAAAATAAAAATTAAAAAACCTCCACACTTAAGGTAACTGGATATTGGGACGTGGCAGCCAGTACCCATTTGTAGTACACAAAAATGGCTGCAACACCAGCAATAATCACTCCATGGGATTCTCAAGTCATTTGGCCTCTATGATGGCCAATACACAGAAATCATGTGTATGACAAAAAGCATATTCACAGTAATTATATTAAGAAGCAAAATATTAGGAAGCAAACACTGAAACTTGAAAGATAGCATAAATCAAATAACTCAAGTAAAATCAATTGAATCATGTCAATTTATATTAGTAGAGCATCTAACTGTTAAGCATATTTGAGATAATTAAAACAAAAAAAATGCTTCTTTGTCTAAACTCTGGTTCTCTCAGGGAAGTCCACTTTTCAGAAGCTTATGAATTGGAAAAAATAAGTGGATAACGTTAAATTTAAGATGAAGTAAGACTTCCTTTTTCTATATTTTTTTATTATTCTTTCTCTTCTGCCCATATTACTGGCATGCAGTTTATTGCCATCTCCCCTTCCTGATTTCTCTGTGCATACACAAGCAACTTCCAGAAAGCTGAAGAGAAGGCGTACGGGTAATCTACTTGCAGCTTTCCAGTATCCACAATGAGGTTATAAAGACAGAGCCAGGCTCTTCACAGTGGCGCTCGTCAGAAGGTTGAGAGACAACAGCTCAAAATGCGACAAGAGGTGTTCAAACGGAACGAACGAGGAAGACGAAGCAGAGGTGCAGGCTTCTGACAGAGGTTGTGCAGTCTCTGCTCTTGGAGGTACTTTCCAAGATCTGATGGAATAAATCCCTGAGCAACCTGGTCTGAGCTCAGAGCTGACCCTGCTTTGAGAATAGGAGAGGACTAGAGACTTCTTGACATCACTTCCACTCCTCTGCCCTCAATTACCCTGTGATCCTATGAAGTGCAGGTTTCTTCTGTGGTGGCTTCTTTGCTGGGTACTATCTAATGGTAAGTGATAACATGTACTGGAACACATGCAGCATGCTTTATCCCTCTGTTTCAGAGATAACCTACTCTGAACTATCTGACATGTACTGCAAATGAAAAACACAATATGCTGGTGGGCTACAGGTTTCATTGCTTCTCTCCAGTAAAGCTTAACCTGAGTGACTTCGTAGAAAGGAAAACCATACTTCACACTGACCCAAAGCCAAGCCCAAGTGCTGGTTGGTTACCAGTCACAGCACGCTCTCTGCTGGACCTAGGAGGAATTCCTCTTTGCTCTGGGAAAGTAGTAATAGAGTAATGTTCCCTGTTCAGCTCCTCTTAAGCAGTATGTGATGTATGATTTTTCAGAACTACAGAGCACATTGCTCTCAAATGTCTCTGGAGCCTTCAGCAGTGGCTTATTAAGGGCCTAATGAGAACCTACAAAACAAAAGAAGACATTGGGACAAAACTGCCTTTGGTTCCTAACAACTGGAGAAGTGGACCACACCCCTAGTGGGAATGCTGATATGATGCTTAAAAAAGTTTAACAACTATTACGTTCCTTGACAACGTGCTTCCTCTGAGAGGGAGAAAAAGCAAGGAAAACAGATGCATGCAGTGCTCATGGCTACCAACTATAACTAAACATGCTGTCTCCAGGAGAAAATCGGGAAGAAAGTTTTGAGGAGTCGGGAGGAACTGTATTCAGTGTCTGTTGAGTATATGCCTATTTTTAAAAAGTGAGGTAAGTGGAAGGGTGAGAAGAAGGATAATCCCAGAAAACATGCAGGCTAGTCAACTGTTCTAGACCAAGTGCAGTCAGACAGTTGTGCAGCAAGAGGCTGTAACTTTATTCAAGTAATGCTGCCCCAGTCTGAATGTAGTGCAGGTCTGAAAATCGTATTTCAAGTTTCAGTACAGCACGCAACAGCCATTGCCTGCAGCTACAGCAGTCTGGCTGCAGATTAATTGTGCTCCTCTTTCTGTATGGTGCCCAGTTCTCATGGACAACCTAGCACAGCATAGAGTCAGGGCATATGCACATATCTGTTGGCACTAGAGTCAAGGCTAATGAACGCACCATCAATCTAGGTTGACAAAGACCAATGGGAAGAACTGTAAATAAACATGAGAATCTTCAGCCTTTGATGTGAACCAGAACCTCTCCCTTTGCTATATCTGTGAATGGAGGTTTCCACAACACTAACAGCTGTGACTCCATCCTTCAATCCTCCCAAAGTTTAACAAGTGCTAGATCTCACATTTTGCATCCCCCAAAAATAAAAAGAAAAAAAGTACACCACAAGTATAAGGTACCTTTTGTGGCTCTAGTCCAGACAGAAGAGAATTCGCTATGAACAGTTCTTGAGAGAAAGAGCAACTCTCCAGATGGGAAAACAATGACCGCTCTGTCCAATGAGCCTCTGCAACTGGACTTTGTTTCTCTCAAGGATCTAAATCCTTCCCACAAATATAGAGAAGGAGATAAGCAGTACGTGCCCTAAGTATTTCTGGACCAGAAAAGAGTGCCTGCATCACTGCCGAGAGAATCCATCAAAGTGTAGAAAAACAGCAGAAAAGACCACACATTCAGTCTCAGCCATGAAGTCAATCGTGGTTATCTTGCAAGTATCTGAAAGGGGCACAGTCAAGAAAGGATGGAGTAAAAATTGCATTAAACAATTCAGAAGCTGCTATGACCTGCTGTTCCCTTCTCCTCCAAGCATGACAAGGTCTCAGATAAAAGCACCATCTTTCCCAGAATACCTCTGCTACACTCCATCCCCCCTTCTTTTGTTACTGCTACCAGACAAGATTTGCTAAAGCCCTGCAGGGAAGTGCACAGCTGCCACATTGCCCTCAAATTCATTCCAGCTGTTAGGCACACTTCTCTTTTTACATCTACTGCATTAACAGTACAATAGGTTTTAAACAGTTATTTTTACCCAGAACACCTTTGTAGGCTTTAATTATGACTTGATTATTTATTGCTTTGAATGGTTCCTCAGTTCACTGGCTACAATTGTTAATTCAGCACTTGACCAAGTTTTATTAAAGGTCTTAGGGGGGTTGCTTTTATTGGGATATTTTCTTACACTTTTGCTCACTAGTTCTTTTTGTTGCATTTTGCTACCTTTAACTCATTTACATTGTTTCTTTTGGTCTAATTCTCAATATATTTCCTAACCTTGACCCTCTGGAATTCCTTTTTTTTAAAAAAAAAACAAATTCAAAACTGTTTTCTCCCTTAGTTCTTCTATTAGAATAAAACGAGAGAGAGAGGGAGCAGCAGTGGCTGCAGAAGATTCCTGACAGTACAGAAAGCACAGCACTGCAGGGTAGAGAAAATGTGCATTACAGAATGGGAGTGACCAGTAAGGTAAAAAAAATAATAAAATAATAATAAAAAGAAGTGTTGTTGGCCCACCCATCCAGATATCCACCAGAAAGACAAAGGAAGAGCTATGAAGTGGAAATATTTGGAGATTTCAATCACATTACAACTTTTTGCCCATAAAATAATCAGCCAGTGCACAAGCGTCTCACCATCAGCTGAACCATGAGAAGCAGATTCTAGTTTTAGATACACACAAGGGCAGGAAGGTGGCGTGTCCTTACTATTTACTCCCTCCTGCTTTTACAGAGGCTACAACAGATAACCAGAAATCAGTCTGCCTGCCTGCTGTACGAACGGATGGTCGAGCATGAGTCTTCCCTGCTGGACCTCCCGCTTGCTTTCAGATGCCTGAACGCAACCGCAACATCAGGCAACAGCTGCTCAGGCAGCAGCTGATGGCAACTGCTCAGCTGACCCGTAGATGGGTTCCTTAGCTCGGGCATCAGGGGCTGCGCCATCAAGCACAACTTCCTGAAGCAAATCCATGCTGCTGGAAGGTCGGGAATAAATGGTAGCCAACAGCTGCTAGAGCTGCTTCCTGGCAAAGGTGACGAACCAGGAGCAAGAAGCAGGTGCATCAGGGATCTGGCCCAGAAACCCTACAGCGCAACAGAGCTGGCATCCAGCAATCCGTGTGGAAGGCTGGCAGAGGGGAGCAAAGCAAACTGTGACATGAAGCAGCATGCCAATACATCATGCCAAATTAAAAAAAAACCCTCACAGTATGTGAACTAGGTTTTCTGGCAGAGCATGTATATGTACTTATGCCCAAGAACAGCTCTGACAACACACTGCTTGATCTAGCTGTGGAAATAGCTGGCATGAAACTACACTCAGTGTTCAAGCTTTAAAAAAAAAAAAAAAAAAAAAGAAAAAAAAAAAAATGGCTGTCCTTGCCACTCATCTTTCCTGATACAAAATCAATTTTTAACTTTTCTGAAACCATAGATTATAAATCTGTTTAAACTGTGAGTGTTAATCTAGAGAAATAGATCTTGAAGAAACAGCCCTTCAAACCAAGGTGCATTTAAAGTGTCATTAGAGCAATAAGGAAGTTCCATCTTCATAAAACAATAACGTAATATAATGCAGCTTATTTGATTTTTAAAAAGCAAACAAATTCCATGCAATGCATTTTTTTTTTACCCACAATATCAGAAGTCGCATTTTTATTTCCTTCCTTTTTAACGTATGGCAGTTGGGAAAGAAATCAGAGTAGCTACTCTAAACCAGCACAAAAAGGGCGCCACCGTACTAATACAAAACTGATTTTGTGCATTAAGGCTAATAAAGCCGTTTTATTTATTCAGAACAAGTGTTTCCAACCCCAATTTCACAACACTGAGATGTCACTGTTAGCTCTTACCAACAGTTCTGTTGCAAAGATAGTGTCGAACACTGATATTCCCCAACTGATTTGGTCTCACTCGGTTGACCTGCAGGCATATGTCCGTGTCTTCACCTCTGATGTCAATTTCACCATTAACACCAAATACTTGGAAAACCACAACAGACATCTGTCAACAAAATCGAGATAAAACCACAGGAGATTACAAATTGAATTTAGAGTGGCTATTGGGGATTTTTAAGTTCTGTCTAAACGTCTTCCCCCACAAAAGAAAAAGTATCTTTGTGTCCATAACCCTTGCTCTCCAAAAAGCACAAACTCTTCTCATTTCTCCTTTTCTTTCTGTACCCATTGGCTGGACAACAGGTTGCTCGATGGTGTCTCCAACAGCAGACATCTGCAGTTATAACCCACCGATACCAACTCAGAACTGGCCAGAAAGGCAATGAAAATCAGACTTTTGACAAAGAAGCGTGTGACACCTGAAATTTTCTAAGGCTGCATTCAACCTCGTGCGTATCGTAAGAACAATCAAGCATCCGTGGTGCTGAATCAGACCACCTTAAAGAACCATGACAGGCTACTAAACTTTGGCTACCTGCATAGTAGCCAACCATTTTCCTCTGCAGCTTGGATTGTAATCTTGCAAACCGCCCCCCCCCCCAAACCAAAAAAACCCACACCATAAAATAAAAAAAGAAGTGGCAACTAGTTTCAAAAGTCAGCTTTGGTATCAGAAGATACATGTCCATCCATCATCATTACCACTACTTGGGGCTCATTTTTTCTAATAGCTTTTTAGTTATAGCCTACAAGTAGAGAAAAACGCTAACGTGCATTTGCATAACAACCTGGATAAATTGTTTTTTCTGTCTTACCTATATGTACAGATGACTGAAAATTTATTTAAAGTGAGCTTTTTCTTCCTTTTTTTTTTATTTAAGTAAGATGATCCACAAATACTTTAAAGCAAAGGTAGGATTCTGTGACTAACATTACTAAAAAGGTGAACAGAATGACAAGCACACAACAGATTTCAGGAAGTTCACTGTCTTTCTTTGGGCCCATATACTCTCCAATTACTGGTTCATGACATTAGCCAATACAACAATATAACTTAAGAAGCATTGATTAGGGCAAAGATCAACAAGGAATAAGTAGATGGGTAGATGGAATAAGTTGGATCCCACAAGGTGTCTCAGGGAGGGAATCTCCCTCTACACGCACTATTCTTACAATCTGTAAATACTGGGCATAGTCCTGACATCATCCTGGATGAGAAGCATCTCTGATCTGACCAGCTAGAGCAGTTGTTACACCTCTATCTCCAAATACTACAGAATGCTACCAGCACTAAGGAAACATCTCCACATAAGAGACGTCAGACTTATGGTGCTGTCTTTTCCCTATACTTGATGATGTTAAAGAGCTCATTTTAAATATCACATTCAACTGAGCCTAAAAGAACATTATGATACTACAAAATAATGCTAGGTACTAAAGCAGAAATATTTTCTACCATTTTTAAGTGGCTACTGTCATTTATCAACAGTGGCTAGAGAAGAGATAACAGGACAGAGAATGCTTAGTGTAACCTGGATTGCTACCTTCATTTTCACTTAATACAAGGGCATTAGATCTATAGACTTGCATAAAGCAGTAACAAAAGCCCCCAAGACCACTTCAAAAATCACCTCTAAAAGCCTTCACTTTAGCTCTGCTTAAATTTACTGAAGCATGTATTCTAGTGGAACTCAATAATATTACCATTTCTTCACTAGTCTCTTGTGCATTCTCTGAAGCAGCGCTCATGGCATCTGGAGATGACCCATCACAATTTTCAATCACTGTGCCTCCTTCATGGGCATTTTCTGATGGGCTTTGATAGTTTGTGGCTGTAATACCTTCCATATACACATCAGAAACAAAGCAAAGTTAGCATAGCATAACCTGAATCACTCCTGCGTTAAGAATATAGTCAGTGCCTGTTACTACATGCATACAGTAACTCATTTTTTAAGATGAGCTGAACAGCTTATTAAACCAATATTTGTGATTGATCCTCTTACAGAGAGTTCAATGTTCTAGATGCTGTGCAAGTAGCGCAGGATATAGTGACAAAACCAAAATGCACTCTACATGCATTGGTTAAAAAATTGTGAAGGGCCTTTTTGAGTCTTCCAAATCAAACACAAAATTGATCCAGCAGAAGAAAAGGTTAAAGATTCCAAGCCATGTATCTAAAACACTGCATAATGCCTTTAGAATAAATGGTTGTGGTTTTATGTTTAGAGAAATAAGCTATATATATTTTCATTAGAGTGATCATGGCAGTGTTTCCTTGACAACTAGAAAGCATAGAGAGTTAACCTGCAGTTAAATATTGTTTAACAAGCTAAAAAGATGTATAGAGGTTATTTAAAGTGGAAAATGTGTTTAATAGCATACTCCCACATAAGCACATGCAGGAATACTCCTACAACCCAAATATATGACAGGTTCGCAAGCGAACAATTCTTCTCATTATTGCTCTAGACTGAAAAGAAATCCTACAGAAAAAAATACTCTTCTTTATTCCAAGTAGAATTTATCCAGGGAAAAAGGCACCAATACAACCTTTTTATCGTACTTCCTGACATTAGAAAATAAAGCAGTTTTGCCAGAGAGTTCCTACAACATTATGGTTTCATAAGTCCACAACACCACAGATTATATAGACATAATTACCATATGCCTGAACTCTTCCCTCAGATTAGGAGCAAACATTCATGCACAGATGTGCAAAACTTGCATAAATACCTGCTGTTAGGCAGTCAAGAGCTAGGGACCACTCTGTAAGGAACAAGCTGCAAGGAGACTACCAAATCTATCTGCCTAGTAATTAGCATGGTGAGTATTAGCTAAACTCCAGTTCTTTTTCATCTACTTTTAAAATTAAAGCTTGTTTACCACTTCAAGCATAATTAATTGTTTCAGGGTACAAACCTGCAACTGCAGTCAAACAACAGAGCTTTTGAGCAAAGCAGCGAAGAGTTCTGCTTAATTCAAAGTTGCAACATAGTACTGAAATGTTTTTACACTCCTCAAGAGAAGAAAATTAAGCAGTGTTTAACTAAGAAGCACTATGGAGGTAGCACACCTTACTGCTTTCCCTTGAAAGGATGTGCTGTGAATATACTTGCTATTACTGACTGGAGCTGACAGAAATAGTGCTGTAAAGTATCCTGGATTTGCTGCACTACAAACATTTTGAGTATTATTTTAGAAACCAAAAACTTTAAAATATTTTGTTAAACCTACTTACCTTTCTCCAGAAAGCTTTGGCTGTCACTTCCATCACTCTCTATCAAGTGATCCTCTAGCATCATGCTATCAATGGAGATGGTATCCAGAGAGACTTGTGAGGGACTTCTTTTCATATTCTTGTAAGAAACAGAGAATGCAGGGAGGTTGGACGGGCAGCGTTCCTTAGGCTTTGCACTTTTTAAATATAAAGATATTAGGGAATTATTATTTCAAATTAAAGGAGTTACATAGAAATTACTTCCTCTAAACCAGGCAAGATATAAAAGAAAAAAAAAAGATTATTCAATAATCCTTTGGCAAGAAAAAGAGAAGCACAGAAAGAACATGCATTTCTGTAGATATTTCACAGAATCATAGAATGGCCTAGGCTGGAAGGGACCTTAGAGATCATCTAGTCCAACCTCCCTGTCATGGGCAGGGACGCCACCTCTCGACTAGACCAGGCAACACATGGGGACCGAGCAGGAATCGAACCCGCGACCTCGGTGTCGGTCATTGTTGCCAGCACCGCACTCAAACCACTGAGCTAACCGGTCCTCAATATTTCATAACATTTAAACTGCAAGTAAATAGTTTAGATCAATTAACTAAGTTCATTTTAGCTTTCACTGAATGCTGAACACTGCGTATCTTGTACCTTTACAAGCTTCTAAAATTTTCATCTACTAGATGTTCACTTCTGTTGAACATTGCTAAAGGTATGTGGCCAACAAGTGATAAATATTTTCAAACAGCAAGAAAACCAATTTAGTATTAAATCTTTTATACCTCGACGAAGACTGAGATGCAAATATTCTAAGTGAAGTCACTTTGTCTTTGCCCATTTCAAGTTCTTCAGATTCTAAGGCAGTGTCTGTTTCCAAGTCAGTGACTTGGTTAGGACACCCTTCGGTTGGGCCTTCCTGTTCATTTAACTGATTTGAGAAAATGTTTTTGTCATCCGCTTTATCAAGGAAAAATTCAGTAGAATCTTCTCTCTTATTTAAAATAGACGTTGAATCCCTAGGATGCGAGCTACTTTTCTCACTTAGAGGTGCACAGACCTCTTCTGAATCACTTCTGCTAAAAAGTCCGCTGCTTCCTCCTTCACTTGTATCTCCCAAACCTTTATCCGATGCATCGTCTGAAAACGACATTCCTTTCTGCAAATCCATATTACTGTCCGATTTAAACAAAAGAGAGTCTATTAAAATTCCTTTATTGTCTTCAGCATTCAGCGGCTTGCAGTCATCTACATAACCAAAATTAGCAATGCCAGCTTGCGCTAGCTTATTGCCAACTACTTTGCTCTCTGAAGTAAGAGCTTCCTCGTTTCCCAAAGGGGAGAGTTCTGATGCCACGGGACTGCCTTCTTCCACAACTGGAGACTTACATGGGTTTCCCTGAGTCACTGGATGGAGCAGTAAGGCTACTTCTGCACTTTTCAGGAGGATCCCAATGCAGACATCCATTTGCTTTGCAGGTTTCCCTGTCACTGCTTCTACATCGTTCCTTAAGTTTTCCAGGAGCAATACAAGAGACTCATGGAGGAACAGCAAAAAAAGATACTGGTAATGGTTGATCTGCACGCTTACGTGTTTTTGGACATGGACAAGAACATGTACATCTGCATCAGAGGAAGAGCTTTCAGAAAGTACTCCTGAAGGGTCTGACATCTGAACACCATTGCTCAAGGGCTCTGTCTCGCTGCTGTAATATTCCTTTAGAAGCTTTTTACGTTGCAGTCTATTAGCAAGATCACTAGATTCACTTTTTGGAATGCTTGCAGCTGTCTGATTAAGCGGTACAAGGTCTTTTTGTGACTTTGCAAATCTCACTGGCTGGCAAATCCAAAGTGAAAGTGGGAACGAGTCCACAAAACTTACTGGTCGGCCCTTCCCGCTTTTAGTTCCTTCGTAATCTATCCAAAACTGGGAAAAATGCACAGCCCAAACATCAGTAGCTGCAGATGTCTTTAATGCATATCTATTCAATTTTGGGATGATATAACCTTTATAAACATCATGCATCTTAGTATCTTGTTCATGAGCATGTCTCTGGAAGATTGGATGCAAAAGATTAAAATTCTTCTGGGACTTAGGAAAAGCGGTGAAAGTTCTACTGAAAAATTCACAGTCTTTGAAGTTCTGAAACAAAGCTTCTAGATCAGAGTGTCTGCAGTTTGGCGAGTATCTTGTATTTGTAGCAATCATCTCTGAACTTTGAATGGAAAGTGCACGAGGTTGATCTTTATGAATTTCAGGTTTGTCTTCAGATGGGATGATAAACTACAAGAGAGAAATGCATTTTATCCAGTTAGGAATCTGTATATTAAAAAGGTATACAATTAAAGAAACAAAATGATAGCCACACCAGCTAAAATAAAGGAATATATTTTTAATTTTAGAAGAAGTCAAGTATACTACCACAGAACAGAGACAATCAGGCTCACAGACTGTAATTTGTGTTTCATTTAAGAAGGATGCTACAGCATCTAAAGCTCAATGTTTGTACAGAAACAGAAGGGTCTCAGGCTTTTCTTAGCTGAAGCATTTAGATGCAGGTCAGCCATATTACGCTGAAGTGCCTCTTTCCTTCAACTCAGAAACAGCCTGCCAGAGAGTTTCTTCAAGTGATTCAAGTATTTACAGCTTTGAACTCCAAATTATAAGTCTCTGGTTTTCAACCTGATTTGTCAAAGAGGGTTTTTCAAGACACTGAATACTACGGTATTTTATTTCTGTGTTAAGATACAAGGAAACAAATAAATGTGCTAACACAGCTAATTTTCTTAGCATTTTAGAATACAGAACAGGTATTTTGTGACCATTATCTGACGATCATAATACATTTTTTATCAGAAAAATAAAAATATACTCCAACTCCTAAAAAAAAAATCCAACAAAATAGTTCAGTACATTGGATTTAATTTAATCTGGGTATCTTTAGCGCAAGTTTTAAAGGAAATACACATTTTATGCCAAATCCTGTATCTGAGGTGGTTAACGTGGACCTTGGTCATGCTAATTGTGTAATATCAGTAACACTATGTTCTGCCACAACATCTCCATGCTGAATCGAGAAAGACAAGAATAAAGAGTCATCCTAAAGACACTTAAAAGATGGGAGTGATTAAGCTTCTTCATGTAAATAAAAGGACTCAGAACGAAATAATCAAATATGTAACTGTATAATAATTATATAATATGTAAACATCAAGCACACTAATAAGAGATTCAAAATTTGCTAGAATAAAAATAATGCTGATAGTACAGGGATGAAATAATTAATGTGAATCAAGGTTTGAGGGATTTAAGAATGCTTTTATCTTCCCTCAGATTAGTGGTTATTCACATAAAATAATTCAACATTTGTGGTGGTTTGGCCCTGGCCAGAGGCCAGGAACTCACCAAAGCCGCTCTATCACTCCCGTTTTAGATGGACAGGGGAGAGTGAAGATGTAACAAGAGGCCCGTGGGTTAAGATAAAAGCAGTTTAATAAAGCAATAGCAAATACCGTGCACGGAAGCAAAGCAAAAACAAAGATTATTCTCTACTTCCCATCAGCAGGCGATGTCCGGCCGCTTTTGTAGGAAGCAGGGCTCCAGGACGCATAGCAGTTGCTCCAGAGGACAAACACAAAACAGCGAATGCCCCCCCCACTTCCCTCTTCCTTCTCCCTTTTACGTCTGAGTTGACGTCTTACGGTATGGAATACCCCTTTGGTCAGTTTGGGTCAGCTGGCCCGGCTGTATCCCCTCCCAAGATGTTGCCCACCCCCAGCCTGCTGTTGGGGGAATGCTGGAAAAAAAAAACAAACAACAAACCACAGCCTTGGTGCTGTGTGAGCACTGCTCAGCAGTAGCCAAAACACTGGGGTGCTATCAACATCCTTCTAGCTACCACTCCAAGGAAAAAAACCAACAAAACCAGCACTGAGAGAGCTGCTATGAGAAGACTGACTCCACCTCAGCCTGACCCAATACATTACATCAGTCTGTATTTGTATCTTCCTGGTTGTTAGCTCTCAATAATTATTTTCACACAGTACAAACCAAGTTTTTCTAAAGTTTCATTACACATGCACAAAAAGCCTTAGGAAAATAACCATCCTCCACAAACTGATTTTTTAGAACCCTTGAAACCTCTCCTGTGGGCACCATCAGAAAGACTCGTCGTTTTGTTCACCTCTGAACCTTGGAAACTAATCACAGAATCATAGAATGGCCTAGGCTGGAAGGGACCTTAGAGATCAACTAGTCCAACCTCCCTGTTGTGGGCAGGGACGCCACCTCTCGACTAGACCAGGCAGCACATGCTCAATGCAAAAGCAGGGCTCGGGGGATGGGGAATTTGTCTGCTCAATAACCCTTCTCCTCCAAAGAAGACGACACAGGAAGCAAAAATCTGATGTTCAGGCACATTAACATGCGCTTCTCCTCTAGAATAAACATATAGAGAACTTGTGTACCTGAACTACAGCCAAGGGCCAGTGTGAAACAGAAAACAGTGTGAATGTGTTTTGGAGAAGAAAATCAACCTTCAGGTGAACTGCTTTCTTTACTCCAGACATTCACGAACAAGACAAAGACGCTCTTATGTACAACACCCAGAGGAACATGGGAGGGTCCTTGCATTAAGATAGCGTGCAAATACAAATTTTTCGCTTGTTATTTTTACTTCGGTGCTCTTTTTTTTTTTGTTCTGCTAAGTCAGCTTCATTGAACAGAGTGAAATAATTTGTTAATACTCCCATTCAGGTCCTCAAAACAAGGCCAAAATACCCCTAGGACACAGATGAAGTAGTACAGAATACACAGGTCTGTCTTCAAACCATCATGCTCTGCATAGTTTTCCAGAGCAGTGTTGACTACTATGTGGGCTCTTTGTTCATTTATTTGTCCATTTATTCCTTAAGCTGCTTTTCTAACAGCTTTTCAGAGTAACAGTATTTTCTTCCAAGGAACTACAAAACCCCTCTTCAATGACAGCGTACCTTTAACATTAGTCCATCAACTCTAACATCAACATGTTCATCTGATTTTGAATTGTCATTTAGCTTGTACATGGCCATGAACTGAATAAGACTCTGCTTCAAATCCAAAACAAACTGATTTAGCCAGAGAAGACTTCTCTCATCCAGGGTGAACTGTAAAGCATTCAGCTGGCCATACAGATTTGGACAGGGAACTAAAAGAGAAAATAAAACAAATAATGAGAGTAAGTAAATGTTCAGTGGATGTTTTTCCTTTGTTGTTTTGTTTAGGTTTTTTTGGTTCTGTTGTTTTTTCTAGTGAGTGCAGACCAGTATTTTACATCAAAGGAAGAATGAAAACCCATTCCTCTAGTGCTCAGTGTTAGGAGATACCTGAAGTGATGTTTCTTTCACTCCAAGCAAGGAACTGAATTCTTGAATGTGCAAACTAATATTGAAATAGAATGAAGTCTGAGGAGCAAGGGAGAATGTCCTCATTACAGAGGAAGGGCAGGACCAAGGAGATTTGCTGTCCTCAAGTCCCATCCCCAAGAATTCCACTGACATTTCTGTATATAAAACACGGCTGGCCCCATAACACAGTAATAAAAATAACACCAGCAGATCTTTGTTGCACCTTAGATACTTTTCACATCTTAGTTCCTTTATGTAGCCTTTGAGTTCTTTTATGTAGCCAGACAGTGGAACTACAGAAACAACGCAAGTATGCTGGAGAACGAACAACACACATGTCAGTAAAAATGCTGTGAGTGTTTTCGGACTTACAAAACATGCTTATAAAAGCCAGTATTTATAGGAGCTTGCCAGTAGCAAGCATAGAGGAAATGGAACAGCATTGTGTTCTTTCCATTTTAGAAAGCCATTATCTATTTTCCAGCTCTCAACCTGGAATCAGTAAGAAGTTTCGTAAAGGTGAAAGTAACACACAAAATTTATGGTTCGATACAAAAAAAAAAAAAAAAAAAAAAAGTTTACTTG